GATGAATCAGGCATGCACCCGTCCTAGAACAGTGAGCAGTCCAGTGAGGCTGTCAACGTAAGAAACATTCAAACCCATAGAGAATTTTTGTGAGTTCATTTGAGGCAAACTGTTGACAATTGCCAGGAAGCAAAATCTCAATGGATTGAGATAATGCTCCGGAGAATGGCAGTTTTGCAGCTTATTTTATACATTACAATCAAAAGAGGAGATGTGTGTGGGTTACATGAAATCCATTGGTGATAGATTAGGGAGGCGGGAGAAGGCAAAGTGGGGAAACCTCTGGGGTTGGACAAAAAGTAGAACGATAGACACATGCTTCTTTCCCAGAGATGGTGCGGGATAGTTAACAGTCGGCAGTTAGCTCAGGAACAATGAGGGGGTTTGTGGTCTCCCCAGAGCACTGCCTGTGCTTTGAGAGGTTCAGGAAAAGGAAAATTACTTTGACATTTTAACGATATGTTATCGGAGATGCAGAAAGACAATAGGCAGGCTCAGTTAGAGTAAAGATGGGCCCTGTCAGGGAAGGTGCTGGCCTCGGACATGACTAGCCACCATAAACTGCTTTTAGTTAACAAGTTTTCATTTCAGAACATCCTTTGTAGTTATTTTAGGTCTCTGACTTTGTACGGCCACCATGCAGGCTGCCCCTGAGCTTGCCAGTTTAGTAAGTGGCCCCTTTTCGTTCACAAGATAGAGTAGAAAGCAAGCAATCATGGAAGCAAGTGTAATGGAGGTAACTGAGCCTCAGAAGCAAAGAAAGATACAAAGATTAATTCCACCAGAGGAAATGAATTTTTATTCCCTCCAAAATTAAGTTAATTTTTTTTTCTTATTACAAAGGAAACACAAGCTCAGTTCAGAAAAAAAGTGAGAAAAAATAGGGGACAGGATATTAAAAACACACTTTCAATATGAAAGCACAACCTAAAAATAAAAGGCCAAAGTGAAAAGGCAACAATCCTTTATTGAGATAACAAAGAATACCTATTGGGGAAGCATTGATTCAGGCAGACCAGATCCTGTTCTTTTGTTTTGTTTTGTTAATCCTCACCCAATGATATTTTTCCATTGATTTTTAAAGAGAGTGGAAGGAAGGAGGAGAGACAGAAGGAGAGAAACATCAATGTGAGAGAGACACATCCAATGGTTGCCTCCTACATGCTCCCCAATCAGGGTTGGGATGGAGCCTGCAACCCAAGTACATGCCTTGACCAGAATCAAACCTGGGACCCTTCAGTCCAAGGGGTGACACTCTATCCACTGAATCAAACCAGCTAGGGGTCCTTCTTCTCTCCTTCTCCTCCTCCTCCTCATTCTTTTCTTCTTCAAAATAATAATAATAATAATAATAATAATAATTAT